GATGAAGCTGCATCTTATTCATTTCCAGTACATCTGCGTATATTCATGTTAATCACGGTTCATTCTCTCGAAAAGCATATCATTGTCTTTGCAACTGTAAATTTGACTGTGTAACGCAGAAGATCATCCGACTCCTTTACCGTTACCAGGGCTATGCGACGTTTAAATAGCTTTAAAATCTCCATTAGGTTATTCAACTGCTAACACAATCGGGAAGATAATGTGAAAGTACTTGAAATCCAATTTTTTTTATAAAAGACTATTGTATAGAATATAGATGTTATTGTAATAATACATGTGTAAAACTTGAATTTTTGCGCGTTGAAGTTTCTTTAGAGATTTGGTTGTTTTACGGGGGTGAAGTTGCTAGCACCACGCCCCAACCTTCCCTCAAAGAATATTTCCAAAAGGTTGCAGACCTTTATTAACAACTGTCTTCGCTCTATACTGAAGATCAGATGGCCGGGCCGGAAAGAATCACTAACAAGAAACTATGGCTGGGAACAAACGAAACAAGAACCATTCGCCGCCCAACAAATATGCAGGAGAAAATGGAGATGGGCTGGACACTCGCGGCTGAGGAGGCCGCTGGGTGACATCGCGCGTCAAGCCCTCGAGTGGAACCCGAAAATGAAGGGGCGAGTGGGACGTCGATGCAAGGGTGACATGGAGGAGATCGTGTGAAGAGGAGTTGAAACAGTATGGACTAACATGGAGGCAGGTGAAAAGTACAGAAGAAGACAGAAGCAAGTGGAGACGTGCAGTTGAAGCCCTATGTTCCACTAGGAACCCAAGGGAGCAATAATAATAATAAAACTTGAACTCCGTGGTGGTTTACAGTTCCATATTAACCTGGTTATTATATACATTGCAAAGTGAAATAGTGTCATTTAGTAGATGATGACGTTTCAAACACAATTTATTGTTCATAATCACACTGATTGTAAACACACAACTTCGAAACTTGATTTTTATACTTCGCATTCTTCCTTCCTATTCGTTGTAAGATTAGTAGAATCTCCCAGATGTCTCAGTGGACAGTTCTTGAATTATTCCTATTGCGTGTATTGTCCGTCTTTACCACAATGATGAAGCTTCACTTAACAGTCCTTCCTTTCACTATTGTTATGTCAGATCATAAGACCGTCAGCGAAACAGGATTTTCAACATCAGTATAACAACTATACCATACTTATATAGGATTCTGTATAAAAGCGGTATTCAAATCCATAAAATCACGTAGAAATTAGTTATATTGGTTAAAGGACCATGTGTTGTCTATTAAACAAAATAGTTTAGTTTACCTAATATAATACCCTGCAATGTGTTTGAGGTCAAATTGTATCGTTTATCTACGAAAACAACAGATATTTATAGATTTTCATGTACATTACTGAAGATTATTTTAAGGAAACAAACACAGTCTTCTGATTGGTGGTTTCTCGCTGAATGTTGATCTTTCATCTCTTTGTGGCCGTTTCTTGAAGTTCAGATTATCTATCTGCAGACTGTATCCGCCTACGCAAAGTCTGCTGTGATTGGTTGTTGAGTCAGTCTTTGTTCTTATTTTGCTCATGACCAATATTGGGGACATACACAATGACGAAAATTACTGTCTATCACTTTTGGCTAGCAGCCAGCACTCACCACAAAATAAATAGGTAGGTAGGCAATAGTTAAGGGCAAATTAAATTATCAGAACACAAAAGATTATCTCCTAATAAGATAAAAGATCTAGGAAAGAAACCCCACTTATGATACTACCTGCAGTTGCATACAAGTATACAGTAGGATGGGCAAAGGGAAAGTTCTGAAACCTATTTTAACGTGGTGAAAAGAGAGATTGATGACTGAAGCTTTATTTGTCAAATAAACTTAGAATACATGCAATGGAAATGATTGAGCACCTGTCCGCCTGGATATCTACATGATTCTACTATCCATAATATAATATGGAATGATTATCATCGCTATCATTGTTGCTATGGCTACTGTATCCAAGACAGCAAAGACAAAGGAAACTATGCAAAAATGTCTATCATGTACTTGTGATGAGAGCTGTCTGCTAGCCAAAATCGGTAGACAGCAATTTACGTCAATGTTTACTTCCCAAATCTTGGAGGTGATAAAAGCAAGGACAGTAACTTTGCGTGGGCGGATACGGTTAGCAGATATATGGTCTGACCTTCAAAGAAACGGCCACAAAGAGATGACAGAATAACTTCCAGTGAGAAAACTTCCGACCAATCAGAGGACGCTGTTTCTCTGCTAATAATAACGAATAATAATATACATAAAAACCTTTAAATATCTGTTTTCCCAATAAACGATCTGTTGCCTGGCTACTGTATTCTGTCGCTACATACTTAGTTTCTCAAACAATAAGGCCACTGATGTTTGGATACGATAACGTCTCTAAAATTAATATAAGTTGATATTATCGGGATTAATCATAGTGTTGCGATTAGAGTTCGACACAGGAGGATAGTTAACAGCTGGTCTGATGACTACTAACCATTGCTAATTTTTAATCACCTCTAACCCTGCACAGCTTACTAAAATAAAGACAGAAAACAAATAGTCGACTGTATTCTAAAAAATACAGAGTATACAGTTATTACAATAATGGACAAGATCCCGAGTGGTGGTATAAAAATCCCAGTGGATAATATAAATGCCAAACTGGGAGCAAACAAAACAGGAAAAGAATTCACCATTGGTTGGGAGACTCTTAGCTAAATGAACGCAAACGGAGAGCTATTCACAGACTTCTGGGGATTCAATGATTTGGTGGTTGGACGCAGCGTTTATAAGTACAAGGGTACACACAAGGCAGTACAAATCCCACCTTACGGATATACCAATAATCAGATCGATTTCATCTCAATTTCAAAAAGTGGAGACGCAGCCTAATGAAAATCAGATATGGAAGAGGAGGAGATGTGAGCTCAGACCATTGTCTAGTGCAAGGGTCCTTCAAGGTCAAGTTGAAAGCCTTCAAAGAAGCCCTCAATAGGTGGTGATTCAAGTTCAGCACCTAGAGGATGGAGGACGAAACAACAAAGGACACATTCACCGTAACCATCAGGGAAAAGTCGGAAACATTTAGCAGTATCACCATGGATAGCTGCATGGAACATTACTAGAACCCTCCGAAAGTGATGCTTGGCAAAACTTGTACAGCCGTTTTAAGAAGAAAGAAGAGGTAAAACATAGGATGGGTCTCCATTATACGTGGAAGAGTGAGGAATGAATAAACAGAGGATGAACAAGTGTGAAAATGGTTAGCGAAAGGAGCAACTGAGTTCAGTATTTAGTGCACCGAACAAAGAAGTGAAGAAAAAAGACAAAAGATAATCTTATGACACACTGGTAACCGAAACACAGTAAGCTTCAGGTAAAAGAGACCTCATAACATTATATCAATTTACCAACTCACTATTCAGTAAGAGATCAATACAGATGAAACCAATGAAAGATAATGAAGGAAACCTTGTAGACAACTCTGGAGATAGCTAAAAATGCCTTCAGAGAACAAGTTGAAATGAAGATGTGCTTTTGAAGCTCTACATTCCACTCAGAAACTAAGCGGATAATAGCAGTTATTATTTATTACATACCTTGAAAAGTTAGGTCGATGAATAACCGATTTAACTGGCTACTCTGAAAACAGAACTCCACCCCCAGACTAGTTGGATTCTGGAAAAACAAATCATGTGCAGACGAATTGCACCACTATACATCATCATCGAACATAGCAGAGAATTTCAGTCTAAACTCTATATCAGCTTCATTGACCTTGAGAAAGCATTCGATAACGTTGACTTTGAAGTGATCTGGAGACTGGTCCAACACTACGGACTTTTATCAACCTAATTCAGCAGCTATGTGATGATTTCACTTGTCGACTGACTCACAACGGAAAACTCAGGAACGCCTTTGAGGTGAAGAAGACATGAGTAAGACGGGAATGCTTACTATAATCGATGATATTCATAATTGTAGTGAACTGTATCATGCGGCAGACAGTCGGAAATTAGGAGAGAAGGATGAGTTGGACTGACAAGATGACTCTAGAAGATCTGGATTTCGCGGACGATTAATGTTACATGTCCCACAGACTTGAAGATCTACAGGCGAAAATCAGCGAACTGGCAGAATAGTCAGCAATCACAGGAGTTCAAGTGAACATGAAGAAGATAAAGGTGATGAATATAGCTAAGCAGCAACAGCAACATGTAGCAAACATAAACAGCAGGAAAAATACGAAAGAAGGTCACTTCATTCACTTATCTAGATAGCATCATTTTAACTACAGGCAGATGGAACGGATGAAGATGTCGAAACCAGTCTCGGAAAGGTAAGTTAGACCTTTATTAATCTGATATCAATGTGAAAGTCTTCTGCACTCAGCATAAAGGGCAAAATTGCGATTTTCAACATTCATGTCAAGTCATTACTTTTACATGCTTCGGAAAATCGGCATGCGAGCAGGAGCGTTTTAAATAGGCTTTACATTTTGATGAATAACTGTCTTCACTCAACAGTGAAGATTAAATGTCAGTCCAGAAATGACGAGCAACAAAAAATTCTGGTGACTAAGAAATTATCATTCAACAAATATGCAGGAGGAAATGGGGATGGATTGGACACATGTTAAGGAGACGGTTAAATGACATCACTTGCTAACCAGGACCTCGAGTGCTGGACATCAATCCAACACTGACATGGAAGAAATAGAGTGAGAAGGAGATGGAAACCTATGGGAAATAATGAGACCAACTAGAAAAAACTGCAGCTCGATGGTTCAGGTTCACCCAGTCTGGTTCTAGCTAGTTTTAAGATCAGATAAAATCACTGGTATATAATACCTATGCATACACAGTATTATACAAATATATAGATGCATACATATACCAATCGATCAATAAATACGCTTTTAAATAAATATTTATTGATTTATTATCTAAGTGTATTCATTATTTTGTCTGATTAAAATTCTGCATATGTATAACCTACTACTTGAATAATTCAACTAATCATTTCCTCCAAAAATAAATAACAAGATCTTTTTATTTTAAATTTCTTTGAGAAGAGTTGACTTACAAGAAGACGAAAAAGAATTTCAGAATTAATATTTTCCATGTTTAACAACTGACATCTTTATTATTTTGATTTTTATCTTCAAAAAATTCATTTATATTTGTATATTTCATTTCGAAGAAAGAGGAAGTCAATACTTGCGAAAATCTTTATTTCATTCACACCAACTAATAATACATAAAGTGAAGAGTAATAAAAATACCTATCCACAAAGATCATTGGGAAAAAACGAAAACATGACAGATTCAGATGGTAATGAAATTGGTAAACTATTTATCGGTGGATTATCTCAAGCAACAAATAATGGTAGTTTACGTTTATACTTTTCAAGATTTGGTGAAATTGACGATGCCATTGTAATGATGGATAATAAAACTGGTAGATCACGAGGTTTTGGTTATGTTAAATATCATGAATGTGATTCAGTCACATTAGCCTTGCAAGCAAAACCTCATATTATTGATGGGAAAGAAGTTGATGCAAAACAATGTAATATTAATATGAAAGGACGTAATAAACGTAGTTTAAAGATATTTGTTGGTGGTATAGGCTTAGAACAAGATATTGAATCAATTAAAGATTATTTTAAACAATTCGGTCATGTAACTGATGTCAACCTAATGATGGATACAAATAAACAAAGGCATAGAGGTTTTGCATTTATTAGTTTTGATGATGAAAATGTTGTTAAACGCTTAATTAATTTGCATTATGTTAATATCAATAATAAACAAGTTGAAATTAAAGCTATGGAACCACCAAATTTTAATCGAAAATTGATTAATTCTAATTTAATTAATAATAGTAATAATAGTAATAATCATAATAATAATACGAGTACAATTACACAGAATCCATGCAGTATAATACCACCGCATATATACCACCTACCTAATCATCATCATACATCAAACTCAGACATATTAAATTGTCATGATATCTATGAATCGACAACAAATGATCCGGCATACAATTTTCTAACAAATTCATTTACACCGATTTATTCAGCCCACAGTCATCCATTATTTTCGTACCATCATCATCCTTCTCACCATCATCACCATCAGTCAAGTGCTACCGGATTACAACCATTTCTACACCCGAATACAATGAGACGTTATTATTGCTTTGACCAACAAAATACGAATACATCGGCCACTTCTGTTAATACTACTAATACTACTAATTCTAGTACAAGTAGTAATACTAATCAATTTATAAATAATTACAGTAATTTCAATAGTAACTTATTACCTGCAGATCAGCCATTTCAATCTTCCCCGTTTATTCATCAGTCATTTAGAACAAATCCAAGTTCATTACGTCATCCTACGGGTAAGTCAACAACAACTAGTACACATTCACCGCTATCGAATAGTACCGTTACTACAACTATTGGTACTTCTACTTCTAATACTACTACTCCTATAATTACTGGAAATAATCCATTTAGTACAATGAATGGGACACAAGTTACATCGAAACAACAAACATATCACCACCAATCACCTATGCCTTTAATCTTAACTACTAATCAATTCCAACCAAATTTATTCAATTTTCAACAGAGCAGTAGCAGTAGTCCATCAGTTTATACTATTCCGTGTCATTTTATTCCATCACATTTTATTCCATTTCCGAGTAATTCTATGTTACAGCAACAGTCAACTTTAATGAATGCACATTCTGGCTTAATTTGTAATGATGTGTTCAATACTACTAATAATACTACTGTTAGTAGTAGTGCTACGACTTCGACGGTTACTGACACCACTAATACTTCTAATTGTACAACTTTTAATAATAGTAATAATAATAAGAAAGTTGTGACTAATAGTAGTACAGAAGAACAAATTATTAGTAATGATAGTCTATCTAGGATGACACCAGTAACGATAGCCTCCAAAAATATGAATGCTTCAAGTACTTCAGGTAACAATGGTACAAATGCAGCTGGCACTCCATCGTTAGTTGCTACTAGTACAGCGACTACACTTAATGAAACTATAGATACTACTGATAATAATGTTAGTAATAATGCTGTTCCACCAAAGTCGATTGATGATGATAATTTTGGTATATTAAATAATGTACAAGGTGGTAGTATTACTGGAGAACACATTGCCTTCTGTGCACCAAATTACAACCATCTGAATTATGCTAGTAATAGTTTACAGTCGACAAATTTACCATTAACACCATATTATGCCTTGTGTTCACAATATCCAACAGGAGTATCGAATACACCAACAGGTACTAGCAATCTACAGGTACCGATAAATGATAACTATAATGTAGGTCAAATAATCAATAATGTTAATAGTAATCCATCGATTTCTGTGACTAATCAAGGCGATAATCCCTTGACAAACAATGACAATCAGAGCTTAACTAATGATGTACTGTTAGTAGATCAAAAATTGAATACTACAAAGTGTTTTTGCCATCCAACCATTTTTATACCGAATGGTATTCATACACAAACACAAAGTATAAATCAGACACCAAATTTATGGAATACACCAGGGAATATTTCATCGAGCGGTTTATTTCATTCAACATTTCAACCGTTAACTGGATGGAATTTCCCGTTAGGTAGCCACATAATTTCACCGCCATTTACACATCAAACTTCACACTATCATCCTTATATACCTGAGAATCAGATGACTTTACATCAAAATGATATGTTGAATCAGTGGAATCAGTTACCTTCAACATACAATGGTAACAACATTACAAAGTCAACGAGTAATGATATAGATGGAAGTGACTTGAAGGATTCTATCACCGCCACTGCTATTTCTTCTTCTTCTTCTTTATTATCTTCGTCAGTATCATCATTGTCTTCGTTCTCATCATCCTCAACATCAACGACACTATCTCCATCACTGACAACTATGCATACGGTGACAGGAACGACAAAGACTGAATCGACAGAAGTGCCTACAACTACGATAATAATAAATTCAACAACAAAATCTATATCGTCTACCTCATCTATACCAACATCAGATGATGTAATGACTTTAAACACTGGCCCAAAATGTAACAATAAAGATATTTATTTAAATGATACAATGCAGAATAATTTTAATAGAATTATGTCGGCTAAGCCATCTGGAGATAATTTAGAAGGTTTACTTGTAAATAATAATAATATTAATCAGTGTATCAATGATAATATCTTTTGTTTTATTAAATCACCAATAACTGATTTAACCTCAACGTTAATTGAACCGGAAAATAATGAGGTGACAAAGTCGTGGCAAAATAATAATAATAATAATTTATGGACTATGCCTAAAGTAGAAAATCTATCTCAAACACTACCACATTCTTCAAAGCTGACAACAGGAACTACAACACTAAATTATCCAACTTCTCCTCAGATGATTATACAACCAATCTATAATTCCTATCATCATCTATCCAATGAGTATGTAAATGGATTTCTGTCTAATTGTGATACACAGTCAGGTGTTAATCTCAATTTAACAGATGGAAGAGAAAGTTTTAGTAATGTAGAAAATAATTTAAATAAATTGAAATTAATGAATGATAACACCGTATATTTATTAAGCAATAATTCAATGAAAACTATAATTAATGATAATGTTAAACTACCAAAGAAAGCAGTGAGCGAAGATAATGAAAAATCTTCATCACCTATTCTGTCAGATCTAAATGAAAACTCTTCATTGACGTCGTTACCACCTAAGGAGAAGACATCAGCAATACCCGAAAAAGTAGAAATGACAGAAAAGATGTCAACTAGTGAAGATTTATCTACAAACAATATTAGAGGGATTGGCTTAAATAAAAATGTCATCATCGGTGAAGAATGTGTAGACAAAACAGAACAATTGCATACAAAGCAGTTTCAGAATAATAACACTGACAGTATAAGTACACATTTACCACCTAACGAAAATGAACATGAAATTGACAGAGGAAATATATCGTGTATTGATAAAACTTATAAAGAATACGAATGTAGGTCAAACACTGGTGCTACGGGTGATTACCCGCCAAATCATCATTTTGTTAAGAATAATTATCATCACTTATTGTAATATTAATCATCTGAAAAGAGTAAAGAAAAATTTTTAAAAAGGCAGAATAATTCAATGTCTTCAAACAATTGCAGTAAAACAAAAATGAAAGGAGGATCAAGGAAAAGTGGATGAAAGACAAAATGACAAGATATAAATAAGACGGAGCAACTATTAGGTGATTTAAATTTAGCCATAATTTTCTTATTTATTCATTTCTCTTACATAATTTATCAGTAAGACAAGTATTAGGAATTAAAGTCAGTTGTTCATTGTCAATGAGACGCGGAGGAACTGATAGACGAATGTAGAACTTGTAAATTTATTACTCAGGTGAATATGTCAGGCAGTTATATTGTAAAAGAAATATAACAGAATAAGTGTATGTAAACCAACCAGATAGTAAAAGTGAGTAACACTCATGTTATCACTGCTAATACTGTCTTCACCAATGTAGTTATATATAAATATGTACTATATTTTGCCTACTGTATTACAGGGACTAATGAACTCATTCACAGTTATTGTGTACATTATTTAAGTGTCACATATATGTAAGTGGCAAAGGAAATTAATAAATAAAAAAATATTTCACATGCTTGTGGTGTTTTTAAACTTTTTAAAACTTTCTACTACAGAAGCTTTGTCAGTTATCTACTGTGCATGTATATAATTTATTCTTGTATTTCAATGTGGTGACGAATCAGTTGGACGTCAAATTGTTCGAATCGCTGAAATGAGATAGTTAAGTAGTTTATTTATTAATCCATAGATGTGCTGGCGATCAAGAAATCACCAATATATACCAAAATGAAGTCTGAACCTTGTGTAACCCGGTCCATAAAGTGTTGGAATGACCGCACAGCATTTCCCAAGTGGAAAGGAATCCTAGGAAATTCAAGCAACCGAAAAGATGTTATGATGGATCTTTTTTCAATAATCTCAGTGACAACTGCTATTTGATGATAAACCCTGACTAGGTAGACTTTAAAGAATATTGTTCTTCAATGCAAAGTAAGTGAGGAGTCATGAGGTTGGGGAATCGGAGAGCGGTCAGGGACAGCCACATTACTGAATGCCTGGTAATCTTCACAAAGTCACCAGTATGCAAAAGCGAGGATCGAGGACTCTTGAAGACCCGATTACGCCCAGTTAAATCAAGTGTGCGAATGTCGCCCCATATACCGCTAACTTTTCGGGTGGTAATCAGTGTGGACATGTTAGTCTAGAAATCCAGCTAGTTAGACTGCTTGTACAGATTCCAGCTCTTTTTCGATTGACTTCAAGTAGAAATAACTGTCGAAATTACTGTGTGCCACCTATCCTGCTTTACCCGATCTTTAGCTACACCACCTGCTGACTGTTTAACATGGTCCTCTTAACCTGGTGACCAGGCACTTCTTAACGCCACCCCAACTATGGAAGGCAGAATATAACAATTACGGCTGCTGAAAAGTGCATTTTTTAACTAGGATATTCACATTATAGAGTTACAAAACCACACCACAACGCAGTAACAGAGCTCTTGTCCCTGGACTGTCTAACTGTCCATCATGTGTTCCAAACCGCATAGACAAATTGATCATAGATAGTAGAATGGCGGAGGTTCATTTGGAGTAACCGACTTCTACGGTCCCCTACAATAGGACGGGTTGATCCCTTGTGATGATTTTATGGGTGACTTCATAAGCCGCATCTGCAACATTGTAAGATGGCTTAGGATCTTTTACAAACGTCGCAGTAAGACAGAAAATATAAGATACTCTGGCGTTTCTATACTGGTGCTATGAATTCGGTAATCTGATATGGCTCCATTGATTGTAAACTGGGTGTACTTATCAACCGTTTTCTAATTGTTTATATCAACCTACAGATTGGTATTAGTGGAGAGGTCAACCCCAAGTATAGCATGATGGAAGTTAGCTAAGATGAAAATCCTTATGGGACAATAATTATTTGTAATAGTAGTACTTCGCAGTGACCGAATTACGGTAAATAAACAAACAACACAGTAAGGCATGAATTTAGGAATTTGTATTTGCCAGAATTATTGTAAATCATGTATTAAATATAAACAAGCAACAATAACTATTTAAACAACAGAGAAGTGGAAATTGTCAATCACCATATCTACCACAAGTCAAATGTCTCATTGCGTATTTATAGTGGGGTCTTGGTTTGCTTGAAAGTCTTTGCCATCTTCTAGCTGATTCAGTGATAGTGTTTTCATCAGCATCATCTGGACTAATTTCTCAATTATCTACAAAATCAGGATTAATGACGGAATCACTAAAGTTGCAATCGGGACAACGTACTTCATTTATTTTCACCTGATCCAGGTGTCTGTTGTGAAATGAATGATCTTCGATGTCTAATATTTTCACCATTCGATTTCCTATGTTTGTAGTACGATTCCAACCTCTTTTTGTGTCGCTTATGATGCTGCCGTAATATTTCCAAGTATCATGTATAAGTCAAACTTTTTCCACAGGCAGCAGCTGGACTGACAAACAATCACTGTCACTGGGAGAGTTTTCAAGTAGTGAATAACGAGATAAGAAGTCTTCATGAGGTATATCCTTAGCCAATCTGTGTTCAATAGTGTAATCATATGAACTTAGTTCTAAACTCCACCTTTGAAACATAGCAGCAGATGATCTATTCAGAGACTCCTCTGGATTGTAGATGAATTTCAAGGCCTGACGATCAGCAACTGTGTGGAACTTAGTATCAAAGAGATACTTGTGCAAGCATCTTATTGCCTATACAACTGCGAGTATGCATGTTCACTCTTACTTAGGCGTCGAAATAAAAATGATAGGTTTTCCATTTTGCTCGAGTACTGCAGTTGCTTACAAAGCAATAGTAAATCTTTCTTAGAATTTATAGATTCAGTACAGCCAGTATCAATTATAAAAGAGTGAGACTTGCCTTAACTTGTAGTGAAGGTCCTCATCAGATGAGATTCAGGGCTGTGAAAAGTTGAAAGAGACAGTGACCGCATTTTCTCAAGCTAATTTGGAGAATCATGAGTAGCATTCAATATCCAATATCGTTTTTACGAGCTAGTATAAACCGATTTGATTTCTCTGTGTTCGCTTCTTGATTGTAAGGTGTAGGTTCCTGATCTTCGGTAAACTTCTGCGTAGCTCGTCCTGCCACTCGACTGTCGTATCTTTGGTTGACTCCAAAGGGAGTAGTGCTGGGATTAATTGTATGTGGCTTGCAGTGTGAGGTGTGTTAAGACTGTTACTACTGTGAATGGAGTTGATCCTTTCGCTAGTATTGTCGACAAGAGAAAAGAGATAACAATAATAATAATAAAAGATATAATTAGTGAAGTTATTCAGACTAACGGACAGAAAAAGAAATAAGAAAACGTAACAACAGTCAGCTGATTAAATTTGAAGAATAATATGAATGATATATATATATATATATCGGTAATAATGATAATAATAAGTGTAGTTAAGGTTGTCAGGACAGTAGGACGGGAGAGAATATAAAGAAGTAAAACGACGAATTTAGTTGTGTACCTCTGAGGGGTGTATGGGATTTTAAGGGGATAGGCCATTTGGACGCAGTCCTTGTGTCGCTGCATGATTCTTCAGTCTTCGCTTAAAGATGTCCACAGACGGTGCCATAACTACATCTGCTGGTAAGGAATTCTAGGGACGGGAAACCCGCAGTGAAAAGAAGTGGGAGCGCACTGGTGTCCTTGCCCGCTGGTGAGCTATTCTTCTGGGACTTCCACGAGGGAGCCTATACCTGCTCAATGGCAGGACACCTTTGTTTGGGTGACTCCAGTCATTTGTTATTTTGTGGGCAGTAATCAAATCCCTCGTAAGACGACGGTAGCTAAGTGTGAACAGGCCTAATTTCTTAAGCCTTTCATCATATGGTTTATTTCAGAGACCATCCACTCCTTTTGTTGCCCGTCGTTGGACTCTTTCCAAGAGGTTGGCGTCTCTTCTGAGCATTGGGGGTACAATAATATTATGCGCCTCAAGGTGTGGCCTGATGTGTGTTTTGTACAGCCTTGGAAAGAGATCGGGAGAGAGTGTACCTAACTGTCTACGTGTAAAGTGTATGACCGCATATGCCCTCGCTACATACCTCGTGTAGTTTACGCTTGTATCCATTTTTTCCGTCAGAAATACACCTAAGTCGCGTTCCGAAGTTGTGCAGGACAAGCTTTCATTGCACAGGTTGTAACTTGCATTCTGCAGTCTGCAGGTGCGTAACTTCACTACTTTGCACTTTTTCACGTTGAAAGTCATGCCACTGGCCACCGCCCAGTCTTCCAGAAGGTTTAGATCTTCCTGCAGCCTATCTGAGTCCTCCGGATACTTTATCGCCCTCCATATCTTTACGTCGTCAGCGTATAGAAGAGTCGGGCAGCTTAGACGGAGTGGTAGATCATTGATAAAAATTAAAAACATCAGTGGCCCTAGGATAGAACCCTGCAACACTCCTGATGACGAGCTGTGCCAAGATAATCGGACTCGATTGACCTTAGTGCGAAATCGCCTGAATGTGTCAAAATATTCAAGATAATTGGCGATTTCCCGCGGTGAACGGTTCATGGGAAACTTTCCAAGACTATTTAATTCCATAGCGAAACCAAAATATAACAACTTTTTGCAGTAGTAGTAGTATTTCTCAGGAGCATGTAAGTAATCTAAGATCTGAAATCATTGACTGTTCGATTACATCCGGATGTTTGTTTAACTAGCAGCACGAAGTAACAACTTTTCAGCCATGACAGCTGGTCGCCCGGATATTGACGAGATAATACTCTGACTTCATCTCCTGTATGTTCCAAAAAGAGTGTGCCTTTAGTCATGTAACTGACGTAGAAAAGGCAACTAAGCTGGTTCGCAGAACATCCGTTGCCACTACTGTCTGGCTGGTGCATTTCCCTGAGACTATTCACCACGACTGAAAATGCCTGGTTTTGCACACTGGAGAGACTGATGTCCCAACTTTCTACGTTACCAGAAACCATTTCGACCATTAGAAGGCCTCCTGGTCTGTTGCCTTGAGAAAGACCGTCGATGTCGCCTTGGTCCTGGTGGTGGTCTGCTATGCTATGCTTGTGGGCTTCTAAATTTCCATCTTCGTAGCTGGTACTAAAACAGCAGGTGATACACCCTTGTCTGCCAAAGGCGTGACTAGAAGGTGACGCGTTGTGTACCGATGCATTCCATACACTTGCTTCAGATAATACATCTAGTATGCTATCTGCCATCTCAGCTAATTCATTCAGGTCGATGGATTGACAGTAGACAGTTAAATTCTGTTGGGCGCTTCATGGTAGCTGTTGCAACCATACGTAGCGTAAAATAACTTCATCGACTTTATTTCGTCAAATTAATCAAAGCTGTAGTCGGTGTAACTACCGCACTCATCACTGGATATTGGATGCTGGCCCTTACTGTTTAAGCTGACTTGTTTGGCTGGTGGCTCACGGTCAAGAATCCACGCCATCTGGCACGCGGTCTTGTTACGTTCGTTCGCGCATGATCCCTGGCTTTTTAAGCAGTCAGCCTAGCACTACGACTTAGCACGAAAATATACTTCG